TTATAAATTTTTTTTTAATTATTAAAATAAAAATAGTAATTATATTAACAAATTTTTTTTTTTTTTTTTTTAGTTTTGAAAGCAAGGTCTTGCCTGAGTTTATTTGTTATAAAAGTTATGTGGTTACATTTACAAGAAAGTGTATAACATATACTCTATTAGCTAAACTAAGACTTGGGCTACTTTACCCACGACCCAAACTTTGTTAAGAGGGGCCAAAGCCTCGCCTAAACTATGCTATATGTGAGAGATTTAGGTAAGTCTCCTGTTGGTATAGGAGACTTAGTTTGTTGTACTAATATATTTGTAGTCATATGATCTATTTTATTATTGTTCTTTTTTCCTCTTGTAGGTAGAAAGATTTTTCAAGTTGGCTTTAAGAGAGGTGGAAGTGCTAGGATTGAATCTGGGATATTGTTGATTGTAAAGTTTTGGTGTAAGATTTCGAGAGTTTTAGCTACTATTGTTTGGTCAGTAATGAGTAGTGTTATTTGTGATGTGTTGATTTTATTATCTTGCAGATGTTTATAAATTTCTTCTATGTTGTCTAGTATTGTAGGCTTTGTTGTTTCCATCCTGTTTGTAATATTGCTATTTGTGTTAGTATTAAGCTGGATCTATGTGGTTGGAATTTTGTGGAAGTAGTAAGTTGATCTTAGTAGTTTGGTTACTTCAGTTAGAGCTTTACTTGATGTGATAGGTATAGTGATACTGTATTCTGTAATAGCTTGTGGATCATAGGGGAGTATAGGTTTGTTAGTAGGGTTGGCTGTCATTATTTCAAGTGAAAGTGGTATATTGAATTTGTAAGTAGAACTTATTTCGTGAATGAAGTTTATAGCTTTCTGTTTATTAGTAATTGGAAATTTATATTCGTTTGTTGTTTTAATTTTGGTCGGGTCCTTGGGTAGTGGTGGTTTAACATCGTAATAATTATGTGGTAGAATTCTAAAGGTGTAGTCTTCACATAGTCTTTCTATGGTTTGTTGATTGTCGCCTCGGCAATCGTTTGGGTCAAGTGGAAAGTATATCCTGTGTTTATGATTAAGATCCTGATAAGCTGTTGGTAGGGGTTGCTTGGAAGGTGGCAGGTTGAAATAATTAACTGGAATTGATGTAAACTCGTAGTATTGTTGTAGTTGTTCTTTGTAATAGCTAAGTTCTTTTAAACTTCGTCTGTCAGTAATCGGAAACAGTTCACATACTGCTGGATAGAGGTTTTCAGGATGTGTAGGGAGGGATCGAGATTTATAAAGTAGCTTTCTGGTAGTTTGTCAAATTGGTATAAGCGATGAAGGGCAGTTACTATAGCTTTTGTTTGTGCTTTGTTTTTTATAGGCAGGTTAAACGGTAGTATTTGTTGTATGTGTTCAGGAATATCCTTGGAGTGGTCAGGTAGAAGTTGTAATTTTTCGTTTATTGCAACTTGAACTGCCTTTTGAATTTCATCGTAAGTATTTAATGTTGTATCCTTGGTAAATCCTTTATAATATTTGATTAGTCGTATAATATGTTTTGGAGTGCAGCTGTTGAAGTTTGTGTTGGTTATAAAATCGAGAAATAATTTTTGTCAGAGTTTTAGATATATATCATCTCTAGTTTCTTTGTTAGTAATAGTAATTTTGTTTGCACTTTTGTAATTTTGCAGGGCATTGTAGAATAGCTTTTCGTATTCGTTTTGGTGTTGCAGCATGAATCTTTTTGTTCTAGTAAATATAAGAAAGAAAGTATAGTCTAGGTGTTTGAATTTTGCTTGGATTGCTGGAGGAATACTGTTGTGTGTCGGTTTAGTTTTGAATTTGTATTGTATAAATTCTTGTATTCCTGTGTTGGTCTGCATATTATTAATTAGTTTATCATAGTGCTATATGGTATTGTTGTATAGTTGTGAGATTTCTTTGTTAAGTTCTGTATGTATATGTTCTAGCCATTTCTGAGTAGGATCTTCATCGAGCTGCATTTGATTTCCAGTTAGATTTTGTTTTGCGGCTTGGCTGTAGATAAGTGTATTTGGAGTATCATAGTTTGCAGATATTGTTGAGGCTGAGTCAGTTTCCATTTTGTTTTGTGGATCCTGTACTGTATTAGAGTCAGGTGTTGCTAGCATATTTACTATTTTAAGATTGTTGTTTAGAGGTGTTTGCATATCATTGTTGTTATTTTGGGGCATTTTGTTGTTTTTTCCTGCTGTACTGGTTTGGATGTTGTCAAAACCTGTTTGTGCTGCTTGATTGTTGTTGTTGTTGATCAATGATAATGTCATCGCATTTTTTGATAGGGGTAAGCTGGATTGCCCACTTTTTGTATTGAGAGGTGGTCTTGGAAGAAGTGTTCACCGTCTTTTAGCACTTGTGTCTGTGTAGGTAGAGTCAGGTTTAATTTGTATTTTTTTCTTTCCTTTGTTGTTGCTAGTATTAGTATTGTTGTTGTTGCCCATTTGGAGTTGTGGTTGTATGTTTAGAGTAAATGATGTAATAGGGCCCAAAGGCCTTGTATTTTCTTTGTTGTTGTTTGTTGTATAGTTGTCGCTACTCTTTTTTCGCTTTATGTTTGTTGTTTGTTGTGTGTGCCTTGTATTGTGTTTAGGTTTTATAAAGCAGTCTGTATTGTATTTATTTAATTAATTATAGTTCGAACGTATTTTGGATTGTTGTTTGTATTTTCTTATAAAATTAGGATCTACAGGAAAGAGTTTTAAAAAATTGGATACAACTTTTATTATTTAATTTATTAGATTAGA